TCCCCCACGCCCCCGTCCCTCCCGCTCACCTAGGGCTAGCCAGCTGCCTGGGCTCTCCTACTAACCTGGGTTCTCCTACCTGGTCTCTCCCAGACCCACAGAAAGGAGTGGGCTCGAGGGAAGGGTGGCCTGTTAACCCAGCCGTTGGGCCCAGAATGGCCTCCTTTAGAATGGATCTCTGGGGAAGGGAGACCACTGGGTCACCTCGGTGCTCACACCAAAGGGGCTGCAGAATCCCTCTAACAGAGGATGGGAGAGGCGGTAGCATTTTTCCTGTACTGAAGAAGGGAAAGGCCTGGCGCACACTGCAAGGAGGAAAAGAGAAGGTTTCCATGAGGCCAAAAACTAAGCTGGCTACAGAACTGGGGAGGAGGCCAGAATCCTTGTGGGGCTGTGTGCTCAAGGTGACCCCCCCCCCCCAGGATTCTGGGAGAGTGGAATTAGGGAGCCCCGTTTGGTGGGAGGCTAGGTTTGGGAGATTCCAAAGCCCAAAAGGCAGCCTAACAGTGGTGGAAGCAGCTGCCCAACCGTCTCAGGATGGCCTGGCTCAGTTGGGGATTTGGGTCCGGTTGGAACTGACCCACCTGATAAGACTGACCTGAGCTGAGGAACAAGAGTGGTTCATGGAGAGTTCTGTGTTAGGGCAGACCCGTTCCCCACATGGCCTGGTGAACCAGGGCTCCTCGGAGAAGTGAGACCCAAATGTCTCTCAGGAGCTTAAAATAGATCACATAGGACCTATTCCCCAAAGTCTCCCCAGTTACCCAGATGGAAGGGAATTGAGAACACCCCTGCCCTCTTCAGACAGTACCCTTACAAAGGGGCCGCAGAACTTCAATTCCGTGTAATTTTAAAGTTCGATTAATGCCTGCTATGGGTCAGGTACTGTTCTAAGGCCTTGGAATCCATCAGTGAACAAAGCAGAGAAAAATCCATATCCTCCCCAGTAAAAAAGGGAAGACGGCCTTCCTGTAGCTTAAGGAGACCACAGAAAGCAAGTTCACCAGGACTAGGACCCCCAAGGACCCTGACCAGCTTTACTGGCCAAGTGGGGAAGAGACTGGACCAGGAGGCAAATGCAGACCCACGGGGATGGGGCAAGAGTTACTGATCTCCACTCCCATGAGAAACACCCAACAGCACCAGACAGGAGCTCCCCAAGTGCCAGGGAAAGCAGGTGTGGGAGCCCAGCTTTGTTACATCACGTTGGAGCCAAGGACAGAGCCTCCATCCAAGGCAGAAGTAGGCTGAAGGACATGGGATGGAAGGCTTCCCCCTGCTGGGCTGGCTCTGGGAAGCAGGGACACGTCAAAGCCCAGGACCTCAGAAAACAACGTCTGTCCCAGTGGCTACCCACAGCACCAGGTGGAGAGGAGGAGCGGAAAGGTGGCTCCTGGAAGGGCCAAAGTCCCACCACCCACAGGCACGGGGAGAGGGAGGAGGCTTGGGCAGCTGTGGGTGTGCTGGGCAAGTGGCTGGCCCGCTGAACCATCCTCTCCACTGGCCTTGCTTGGAACTGGTTTGCGGTGGGGTGTTGGCCTGGGTGTGGACTTTGCCAGAAAACACAGCCACCATTGGCATTTGTAGGGTGATGGAATCATTCTAAAACTGGACTGTCGTGAGGGCAGCGTGACCCAGGAGATTTATTAAAATCATTAAGTTGTACACTCGCAGTAGGTTTTTATGGTATGTCAAGTGTATCTCAGGAATGCTGTTAAAAAATATCTGCATTTCCTCTCTTTGGTGGTAAATTCTTGGATAGCACAGCGGCTTTTTTTTTTTTTTT